GAGATGAAGGTTAGAACAAAAGGATGTAAGGGGCTTCCTTAACCAATAGGTCTGATCCAGGAACAGCCAAAACAGAGTTGAAACTCTTGCAGTCCTGCAGAATTTCAAATTGTCCTGTGATCCTAAAACACAAAAACTCCAGCAAAGCATGACAATGCTGGGTGGTATTTGGTGAAACATCTCAATCTTCTATTTATTGTCAGTATGTGTACATATCATATTTTGCTGATAATTTTGTGTCTAAGTGGCCACTCAGCATATTTTGAACTAGACAGCCGGAAATCGGCACCTTCCCCAACTCTGCTACTATCATAATGTACTGTATTCTTATTTTACTTTTGTTTTTGAGGCAACACGTATTTATTTAGCATCTATTATGTGTGAGGCATGGATGAGCATTACAGTGTCCCTCTTCCTAATTTTATATTCTAGTGAGGAGAGAAACATTTTTAGAAAACAAACAGATAATACTCTATTTACAGGTCATGGGGAGTGCTGTTACTGAACGGTCAGCCTGATATATTGAATAACTGTGCTAGGAAGCTCTGCAGTATGTACAACAGTGAATAAAGCAGGAATCTGCCAGCATGGAGTTGAGAGCCTGTGAATAACAGAAGACCAAATAGTCATTAGTCTTTAATAAAAAGGATTTCTAAGATCCAGCAAATTATAGCAGCTTTGAGGTTAGGTTCTGTACTAATTATGGTTACCACACACTGATGTGCCATACAGTACAGACACAAAAGGTGTTGATTTAACACACACACACAAATCTAAAAACAGGGAATTGTGTCTCTCCTAGTACTTCTAAAGACTAAGTGTTTCCAAAGGGATTTCATGCTTCAAAGTTATTCTTTCTCTCCAGGTCAACAAAACCTGAGACAGAATTTAAATCACAAAGCTATGCAACGATATTCAATTGCTCCAACGGCTACCACTGCAATTTTAGTTTTAATGATTTTCTTTGCTGCCAACTTTTGCATATACTGCACTAATGTTTGCTAGCTGGCTTTGGAATTAGGACCAGAAATGTAAGAAAAAAGAAAGAAAACAACACCAGTATTCTTTATATTAACAAAAGAGCTCTTTCCTCTTTTGAGTGTTTTTGTTTCAGGAATACAGTGTTATTTGTTATTTTTTTAATCCAGGAAAAATCTGTTAGTTCTCAAAGCCCATACATCCTAGCTTAATGGCAGGATCACCTAACCTGGGAAACGGCATGTCACTGAGACCCAGAGGGTTCAGTTTCACTGTGAAGGGGGTGAGCTGCTGCCAGGGATTTCTCACTTTATTTTTTTTCAACTGCGGCTGCCAAGTCTCCTCGGATTCACATTTTCTAGCTTCCCTCCTTGTTCTTTATAATTGATGGTGCTGGAGACAGTCAAGTGATTGCATACTAGGGCTGTATTTCAACACATCTCTGATAACAAGGAGAGAAAAACGAAGTCATGCTAGGTTCCACATCACTTTTTTTTTTGTTCTAAGACATATTTCCCTAATAAGTGTGCAATTCAGCACACTGATACTTGAGTCTGGGTGTGGTGGTCCATGCTATGGGAGGACTGCTTAAGCACAGGAGTTCAAGACTAGGCTGGGCAGCAGAGTGAGACTCCATTTCTACAAAAAACAGCAACAAAAATTAGCCATGTATGGTGGCACGCATCTGTAGTCTAGTTACTCTGAAGGCTGAAGAGGAGGATCCTTAAGCCCAGGAGTTCAAGGCTACAGTGAGATAGGATCTCAAAACTGCACCCCAGCCTAGGTGGCAGAGTGAGACCCTGTCTCTAAAAACAAAAGAAAAAAAAAGATAATGGTGTCAGCTAGGTGTGGTGGAACACAGTGGATCATGCCTGTAATCCTCGCACTTTNAAATATATATTTGAATTGTAGTAAGTATAGGTTGTTTTTAGTCTGTGATAATAAAAACCTTGACTGGATTCCCCCAGAAGCTGACCCAGGGCTAGCATTTCACTTGGGAGGTGACAGCAGGAAAAAGCAGGAGGGGAGTAAGGAGGCCAATAAAGATGTGCTATGAGGCACTTCCCCAGGGGAGGCTGGAGCAGCCTCCCTGGGACTCCAGGGAGGAGTAATGGGGCATGCCCTGCCAACCCCAGCCATGAGGAGCTACGCCAGGGAATTTACACACTAAATCCTTGCCTGCCATTGGCTGAGCCTGCTTCTGAATTAACTCTCTAGGGCTTCCAGCTTGCCCTGCTCTAGGAAGAAATCTGTCAAGCACAAAAAGAGATGCAGGTGTTCCCAGAAGCAGCCTTTAGCTGGGTGAATCTGGGTGGGCACTGATGGCCTCTGCTACTGTCCTGCCTTGCACGGCAGATCCACTGCTACAGATATCTGGCCCTGATTCCTCATGGTGGTGTCCAGTCATACTTTACTCAGGGAAAAACCCCACCTCAGGAAGGTCAGTAGGTCGGGCTATAATGCCCACTGCTGCAGTTAGCTCTAAGGCCATAGTGATTTTTATCATCTTCTTCTTTAATCACTTGGCTCAGTTCTCCTCACCTGCAGCCAGCACTTCTGTGGCCCAGGCTGCTTCCTCGATGAAGTGACCCAGACCCTCTTCCCTGTGAGCTCTGAGCCTTTGGTTACCATGCCTCATCAGGCTAGGGCTGCTGCATTGCTCATTTACTGGTATCACCAAGCAAGGAAAAGATACCAGTGAGTCCCCTGCCTTCCAGAAATAATCCTCACTCCCCTGTTTCTTACTCAAAATCAGGACCAAATTTTGTTGCCTGCATGAGAACCCCAAATAAGGAGAGGCTTTTAGATTTAGTGAACCTGTGTCACCTGGGAGAGCATATTCCAGGGGCCAGGCCTCTAGCTACCGGGGATGCAGCACCATACACTGCTATTAAGTTCTGAATATATACTGCATCCCACAGCACAGCTTCCAACGCTGCTGGAGCCTTCCCTGTGCCTTTGTGGGGCCATGCTGATGCCTTATCATGATGGCAGTTCGGGGTCTGCGATCTAGGGTGGAACCAGTGGAGCTTGTGGTCCCATCCCCATTGTCTCCCTCTTTTGCTTTTACAAGGGCCCTTGGTCCAAGGTGATATTATGGGAAATCCTGTGATGATAAAGCAAGACATTCTGTAAGCAACTGGGTAGTCATGCCTACCAAGGCTCTGCAGGCAAGGAAGACAAACCCAAACCCAGAAGATGCATCTGGGCCTATGGAAATCAACTTGCCACCAACTGGCTGCTCGGTCTTCTTGAGGGATGGCAGCCACCATACCATGGGCTGCCCATTGGCCTGTGTGGCTGAAGAAAAGGGCAGAGGCACTATCTAGATCTGCCTTGTCCCTGTAGCCTCCAACCCTGTGAATGGACATTGTGCAGAGACAGCCTAACTTGCCCTGACTGAATCATCCCATTTGTTCCGTGCCCTGCTGTGGATGCTTTTTGCCGGGCGGGCATTCATATAAGACACATAGATGGGCCAAAGACTAAGGGCATGTGTGAGTTCTTGGGCTGAGAGGCTGCGATATCCACAGGAGGGCTGTGCAGCTGCTTCTCAGCCACCCTCCTCTCCGTCCAGCTGTTACTGGCTTCTCCAGCAGGTCCCCTACTTTTAGGAATTTGTACCAAAAGCTGGCACACACTCTTGGTCACATATCGTCCTGAGGGCAGCCCAACTCTGCCAAAACTCTGCACTGATGCTCAGCTCCACTCTGACAGCAGCAAGCACAGGCTCATGGGTGTCTCGGGCCAGCAAGTACTAACCCAGATTAGAACAGCTGAGTGAATTCCTCATAAGCTCCAAGAGGTGTTTTACCCAATTGCTTGGGGGGTTCCTTTATAGTGTGAGGAGACTTTAGGGTGATCATACAGGGTCTAAAAGGAACACTTTTGACAGTAAAAGGGGTACTCAATAATTAAGCCATCACTACAGACACAAATCCGAGTCATCCCAGGCAAAGTGGAACATGTGGTCACCTTAGTTATCTGTGATCTTTCCCAGTGCAAGTGACCAATTCCAGGATAACCAGAAAAATACATCTAAATACCCTGTCATACCAGGTTAAACTCCATGGTCCTGTCTAATGTCATTTCTCTGCACAGACCCTGAACTCCTCTGTTCCCTGCTCCTTCTTCTGTGCCAAACTCCAGTCTCAGCTACAACTAATTTTCTACTAACTCCCTGCCTGCACCAGAGCAGCCAAAACCCACACAAGCAGGCCGACTGCTTCCATTTGAGACTTAAGACCACATATCCCAAGTGGGCAGTCTGCTCTCCCTGGCAATCTCACTATATATCCTTAGTAATTTGCCTTACAATGTCTAACAATGTCTAAGATAACAATCTCATCCCTTCTCAATTCTCCCTTGCTCCTATTCCCTGCTCATAGATGATCTTGTTAGTTCCTTTGTGAATGAAATAGAAGCAATCAGAACAGTATTTTCTGACTTTCCACTCACCATGGCTACCAACCCACCACACCTGTAGCTTCACATTCTGCTTGCTCTCCTACTACACAGCTCAACTCTGCTGACTCCTTTCTAAGAACAACTTCTGCCCCTTGTGCAATAGGTCCTACCCTCCCTTACCTTTTTCAAAGACTTTGCTCTGCAGTTGCTCCCTCTCTCTCCCGCATCAGCAGTTCCCTCTTTACCCGTTAGGTTCATAGCTCCCATCTTAAAACAGACATTTTCCTTGATGCCATGCTCCTCTAGCAACTATCCCATATCTCTGCTCCCTTGATCACAAAACTCCTCAAAGTGGTTGTCAAACGAGCCAGATAAAAATACAGAACAGGGCCAGGTGCAGTGGCTCACGCCTGTAATCCCAGCACTTTGGGCAGCCAAGGCAGGCGGATCACGAAGTCAGGAGATCGACACCATCCTGGCTAACATGGTGAAACCCCATCTCTATTAAAAATACAAAAAATTAGCCAGGCATGGTGGCACGTGCCTGTAGTCCCAGCTACTTGGGAGGCTGAGGCAGGAGAATCACCTGAACCTGGGAGGCAGAAGTTGCAGTGACCTGAGATCGCATCACTGTACTGCAGACTGGCATCAGAGTGAGACTCCGTCTAAAAAAAAAAAAAAAATACAGAACACCTAGTTAAATTTGAATTTCAGATAAATAATAATTTAATATACATATGTCCCATGCAATACTTGGGCCATACTTACACTAACAAATACTAAAACAATGTTTTGGTAGATGTATATCCCATGCTACATTAGTTTAGCAATATACCTACGCTAAAAATTACTTGTTGTTTATCTGAAAATTCAACTTTACTGGGTATTTGTATTTTTATTGCTAAATCTGCCAACCCAGGTTGTCTAAACTCACTTTTTTCCACTTCACTTAATATTCTTTTCACAGTCCACTCTGATGAGATGTAGGTTCCCCACAGTCCTTTGAACTGTTTTTGTCAAGGGTGTCAATGACTGGCATATGCCAAACTCAATTGTCTTCGGAGTCTTGGCCTCATAGTATTTCTGAACATTGCCAATCAATTCCTCCTTACTGAAACTATTTAGTTTCCAGAATCCGCTGCCCCTACTTTCCTGATTGTCCTTTCTCCTTGGCCATAGCCCCCTGACCCTGAGCATCCCCCACAACTCTGCATTCCTCAGACGCCGAGCACCCCTTCCGTGACCCCGAGCATCCCCCTCAACCCTGAGCATCCCCTCCCTGACCCCGAGCATCCCCCTTCTCCCCCCCGCCCCCCGACCCCGAGCATTCCCCCGACTCCGTGCATCCCCGATCCCCAGCATCTTTCCGACTCTGCGCATCCTCTGACCTGGTGCGGCGCCCTGACCCAGTGCAGCCCCTAAACCCCTGCAGCCCCCTGACCCCATGCATCCTCCTGACCCAGGGTTGCTCCTGACTCAGTGTTGCCCCCGCTCCAACCCCAGTGCCTCCTCCTGATCTGATGCGGCCCCTGACCTGGTAGAGTCCCCTGACTCCAGTGCATCCTTCTGACCCAGTGCTGCCCTCTGAGCTGGTACATCCTCCTCACCCAACATTCCCCCCTGGCGATGCACAATCCAGTGCATCCTCCTGACCCGATGCTTCTTCCCGTCTCGGCGCGGCCCCCTGACCTGGTGCAGCCCTCTGATTCCATGCATCCCCCGGTTCCGGAGCGGTCCCCTGACCCGGTGCAGGGCCCATCGTTGTGAACTGTGGCCCCATAAACGCACTATCATCTCGAAGCCTCTTTGAGGTCACCGGGGGCTCGGGGATGGATGGTGCACCTGGCCCGCCCCCGAGCTTGTATCCTCTTCCTTCCTCACAGCTCCCCACTTCCCGCCACTGCAAAGACGCCCAGCAAAAACCTCCTACTCGTGTCCATTCAGGCGGCTGGGTCCCTCGGAACCCAAGACAGTCCAGCGTCCACCGCCCACGGCCCCTGCTGACCTCCCGCACCCGCGCGGGTCCCCTCCCTCCTCTACCCTCCCCGGGAGGCTCCGCCCATCGAGGACTCGGCGCTCCACTGCCAGGCGGATCTACGCGCTCGGCGCTCGCGGCGGGCGGAAGTGAGGTGCCGGCAGCTGGCGGCCGCGGAGCCTTCGGCGAGACCCACCCGGCCCAGTCTTTGCCGGCCGTGGGGAGCTGCAGGCTGGCTGGAGGTATGTGTGGGAGGATGAAGGGCCTGGCCGAAGGCCAGCGGGGCATGGACATCAGCCGCACGGAGGCGGCCGATGGCGGCGTCCGTACAGGCCTCAGTTGTGAAGGGACAGCCGCGCCCACCCTCGCCGTCCGTCACCTGCGGGGCCCTGCGACCCCGCGCACTTCCCAGCCCCGCCGCCCCCACCCCCGCCGTCAGGCGCCAGCGGGGCTCTGTGCCTATCGCCGCGGTTCCCAGCCCCGCCGTCCCCACCTGCGCCGGTGCGGGGCGTGTGGGCTGCAGAGGGCAGACCCCGCGCCCCGTCTGCCGGAACTGTCCCCCACACGCGCCGTGCGTAGTTGCCACTCTGAGATTTGAGAATTTCTCTTGGAAAGTAAACACGAGGCAGGTTTTACCTGTCTCCCTAGGAATGCATCCCGCTCTGGCTGTCCTTAGCGCTTAAAAGGCGCTTGCCACTGTTGTCAGCGTTTGCGTGCACAGACTTGATCCTCGCGCGTGGGTAGACGCTGCCCTGTGACCCCATTTTACAGATGGGGGAGCGGCGGCTCAGTGCTTGAGCAAAGAGCCTTAGTTCCTGTTGTAGCTGCCATCGAGGCCTTGCGCAACGGCTCCAAGTCCGCACACCAGCAGTCTGGAAGCCTGGTGATGCATAACCCTGTATCCCAAGGTTTTTAAATAAACACTTAGTTCCAAGAAACAGTTCTTGAAACAAGTCGTCTTTGAATGGAAGTAAGTTATTTTTAATCTGCCAAAGGTCAACATACTAATAAATCTGGGAAATTTTAAGTTTGATGCCTTTGTGAATTTGTGAGTAAACTTACAAGGGACACTTAAATATTTTTCTAAGTTAGCCACACTTTAGTTAAATCATTTGTGTGCACTATGCAGTATTGAAAGGTTAGTTCTGAGCTTACGTATGAATCTGTCTCCTAGTGCATAATAATGTTTTGTTTATGAATGTTAGTACATACTGGCCCATGATTTGTGTAACTGACTCCTTTAATGACAAATCAACTGAAAGCCAAAATCCTCCCAAGGATGATTTTTGTGCTTTTAAAAGTTGGTGATTCGCAGAGTATTACTAGAGTGATGTGCGCTTAGTACTTACCTCTTGTTTGCATAGGTAGAAAGTTAATAAATTTAAGCAGAGGAGAGATTCCCCCAGTGTGACTTGGAACAACTCTTGGAAGTTTTAGAAACTAGTCTTTTTTTCTTGTCAAGTTTTTAATTTCCTGCACTGAATGCCATTTTGAACTACAGTTGACCCTTGAACAACACTGGGGTTAGGGTACCCACGCAATCAAAAATTCCCATGTAACTTTTATTACCCCAGGACTTAACTCCTAATAGCCTCCTGTCGACCAGAAAGAAGCCTTACTGATACACAAACAGCTAACATGTATTTTGTATGTTATATGTATTATATACTGTATGATAATAAAGTAAGCTAGAGAGAGGAAAATGCTAAGAAAATCACAAGGAAGAGAAAAAGTATTTACTCTTGAGTGGAAGTGGAGCATCATGAAGGTTTTCATCCCCATAAGTCTTCATGAGTAAGTTGAGGAGGAGGAAGAGGAGGGATTTTCTCAGGGGTGGCAGAGATGGAAGAGATGGAGGAGGTGGAAGGGGAAGTGGGAGAGGCAGGCACATTTAGTGCAGCTTTTATTGAAATAAGTCCGTGTATAAGTGGAGCTGCCTCATCCCAACCTCTGTTGCTGAAGGGTCAACTGTATTACTTTTCTAAAAGATGATTATTAACTTGCTAAGTTAAGTTCTTGGGAGCCCATTATGAAAGAATCCTATGGGCAATGAAGTTGGAACTCAAAAAGTTTTGCACGGATAGTCTTCTAGCAAATAACTTTTAATAATTTCTGGTGTCAAGCAGCAGTAAGATTAGGCCATACAGGAAATGCTAGTTGCAGGGGTATTCTCTCAGTTACATTTCCACTCCTTTTCTAGTTTACCCAACTTAATCTAGCCAGGGCTCCTACTCCAGTATCTGCCACATAGTAGGTGCTTAAATGTTTATTGAAAGGATGAATTTTTGGTCGTTGTTGAGAGGATTTTGAAACTATTGAAATCGCATGGTGGTCGTTGACTGCTAGTCAAATGCTTTAGAGTATGTTTCTGTTAGTTTGAAATTATTATTGACATGAATACACAAACAAAAGTAATTGTGGGGAAATTATAAATCTTAAAGCGGTAGGTGACACACCCATCAGCATCCTTGGATCTCAGTTTGTTTATTGATTGATTAATTGATTGAAAGGGGGTCTCGCTCTGTCACCCAGGCTAGAGTGCAGTGGCACATTCACAACATACTGCAGCCTAGACTGTCAGGGCCCCAGAAATCCTCCCACCTCAGCCTCCCAAGTAACTGGGACTTCAGGTACGTGCCACCTTATTTGACTAATTTTTAAAATTATTCGTGGAGAGGAGGTCTCACTATGTTGCCCAGGTTGGTCTTGAACTTCTGAACTCTGCCTCCCAGAGTGCTGGGATTATAGGTGTGACCCACTGTGCCTGGCAACTTTTTATTATTTTTTAAATATATATGGAGTCTTGCTCTGTTGCCCAGGCTGGAGTGCAGTGGCTCAGTCTCAGCTCACTTGCAACCTCCACCTCCCGGGCTTCTGTGTCAGCCTCCCGAGTAGCTGGGATTACAGGCACACGCCACCACACTCAGCCAATTTTTGTAGTTTTAGAAATGGGATTTCATTATGTTTCCCAGTCTGGTCTTGAACTTCTGACCTCAGGTGATCCACCTGCCTCAGTCTCCCAATGTGCTGGGATTGTAGACTTGAGCCACTGTGCTTGGCCTGTGCTTGGCAACTTTTGTTGAAAAATCCGTCCATATGTGGACCTGCCTCATTCAAACCCGTGTTGCTTAAGGGTGAACTGTATTACTTTTCTAATAGATGATTATTAACTTGCTAAGTTTTTCCCTTTGCTGCTTGCTAACAGTACTGCTTTTCACAAGATCTCAATTTGAAAATCACAGAGTCAAGAGGTATTTTGGCTTAGGCATCAAAGCAACTATACACAGGTCCTTGGTCTGGCTCTGATCTGCTTCATAGTACTGGCTGAGTTGCTTGGATGCTTTGGACTCTGCTTCCTTTTTTGTGTATTCAGAGAATACATACAATTAGGTTATCTCTGAAATCTTTCTTGCCTTGAAATTTTCTGACTCAGTGAATCCTATAACCATTTAGCACTTGTCTTATCCCTGTGTTTTGTTAGGGGCAATATTGTTAATGGTGTTTACATACACCAGTAAAATACTAAGCTCATGCTGGATAGGGATTAATTTTAATTATTTTTGTATCTCTCAGTCTTACTATATGCCTGACACATATATCGAAAATTAAATAATATTAGCCTGGATTCATAAGGGCATTTTTGCCCTCTCAATTAAAGAACAGCTAAGAACTAACTCTGTAGTATTGAGTATAAGTCCAGCAGAAGCCCAGAGGTGGGAAGGATCCTTTGGGGCGATCAGGAAGCTTTGAGGATAAGAACATGATGAAGGAAGGAGTGTGAACACTGGGCTGCACGCCAGGAGCAAAGGCCCAGAGGCTGGTAAGTGAGTGCGTTTTGGATTATGGGTGGAGCGACTTGACTGACAGGCAGAAGAGTTTGGGACAGATTTGTTAGGCAGCTCTTTGTTTTTTTCTTTCTTTTTTTGGGAAAATTATATTAGGCCTGCTCAAAAGCTTCCTGAACGTCCTTTACCTTAATACTGTTGGTAGCATTTCAAGTTAAAAATAAACCATCCAGTTTGCTTTATTTTTGTTTTTGGGTTTATCAATTCTTCTATGTAATATTTTCCATTACAGTAAATCTTGGTGCCGCTAATGGAAAGAACACTGGCCACAGACTGGGGAAGACCGGGTTTCAGTTTTTTAGAAGGTGAGCTGCACAGGGTGGATCCAGAGAGCCTCTGGACTCACGCCCAGCACGTCTTAAGCACTCAGTGACAAGTGTGGCATTGAAGGGCTTTTTCCCTTTGCTGCTTGCTAACAGTGCTGCTTTTCACAAGGCCGGCCCTTAGTTTCATTTGTAAGCGTGGATGAATTTTTAAAGGCCTTTTCTCGTTTTAAAGTTTTGTGATTTTGGAAGGTATACGATTTAACTTTCATTGTATTATAATTTTAGTGAAAGACAAAACGAGATAAAAAGCCATGTTTGGGATGTCTCAGTGGGAATCAGAAGTCATGCCAGATAGCTCAAATGAAGAAAGGTGCAGACGGGGTTAGGGAATACACAAGGAGTGGAGAGGAGCAAAGGGAAGCTAGCAGTAACTGGAAAGGAGGGAACGAAAAAGTAGAGTTGGCGGGAGGAGGGTCTGACTGTTGCCAGAGAAGTAGTGCTGGGGGCTGGGGGAGTAACACTGAAATGCCTCAGTCTTGGAACTGGTCCACTTCTGAAATCAGAGTGCAGGCCTCCCACTGTTTGCTTATAGTCTCTCAACTTTCTCAGTCTCACTGACCCCCACTGCACCTATCAGGAGCTTCTGTGGTCTTCAGAGTCACTGTCATGCCAGTGTGCTCAGTCATACGGTTGTTCTTCTGTAGCATCTGCCCGACAGGTTCTCAGCCTTGGGCACTCTCAAGTCTCTACCTCCTGTAATGCTTGACCTGGGTTGCTGGGGCCAGCGGGGAAAATCACCATATCCAGATCTGTGCTCCTGTAAATCCGTGGTCACCAGCTCAACTGGGCCATCAAGGAATCTTCTAGAGTTTTCCTCATCAGCACCTGCTTCCAATCTCTGTAGAATCAGGCTTTCCAAACCTCCCATCCTTTCACATCATCTACACACGCTCTTAGCATGTGGTCTTGCCACCTGCATCATAAATAATAGAGATGTAAGCGGAGAATCTCAGGGGCTTCCTGCCAAAAACTATTCCTCTTCCCCCAGTCACAGTAGAAGAGGTTGTATTTATGCTTAGACCAATCCCCTACTTGGGCTCTGGATCCCGTCTACTCCTGCCTTTGTGAGGACTTCACTCAGTTGTTGATGCCTTACTAAAGGCTTCTTTCTGTTGGC